TTATATTTGTAATGATTTCTAGGCAACTAGCTGAACAAATGTATTTAAGTTTTTGACTGGTGAGAGAAGCTAGTGGGGCTGTAATGTCAGATAATTTATTGTACAGTTGCTGATAAAAACGAACCATCTCCAGGTATTTGCTCATCCTAGGAGTCAGAAACAACTGCTAGATCATCAAGATAAGTCTCTGCTCCCTCAAAATAACTATAAATGAATCGTTGGAATGTGGCTGGTGCATTGTGAATCACAAATGAGGTTACATAATATTTGTAGTATCCCCTCTGGTACAACAATCGCTGATTATTTTGTTTTGACACTTAGGGGTATTTGGTGCTATCCCTTCAGTAAATCGAATTTGATCACATCCTTAGTATTTTTGACAAGTCTATCGCATCATCCACGTGCAGATGGATAAGCATCAGGTATAGTTACCCTATTTAACTGTCAATAGTCAAAGTGCTTCCTGGCACAATTTACCGTGATGCAGGGACAAGTCCAGGGACTGGAAGATTCTTCCATAAGTAAGTTTTCCAGACAAAATAATATCTTTCTGCATTAGTTATAACTTCTTTACAAGTATTCCGTAGGAAGATGATTTAATGAGTTTAACAGTTCATACCCCACCCTTGGTATGGCTTTTTTGTGCATTATTTAGGAGCATTGAAGTCTAATTCTTTACACTTATCAAGCATGGGCAGGATGTCTTGAACCTGGGTGTGGGAGATGCCAGTCATTAGGGTGTGAGGATTCTGAAGCAGCTGTGATTTTGTCAGTCGTACCTAACTACTATTTGCTTTCTCCAAAGTATCCAAAGTGTCATATCTTCGGGAACAGTTGGGAACATGATTTTTATGAGTAGATAAATAATATGATTTGACCTGGGAAGATTAGGTAGCTATAAATAGAAACTGCACCGCTCACATACGTCCCAGGAAACGTGCCTTAAGATATGTCCAGGGACCCGTTCCTCTACCATCACTTTGTCTCCTGCTTTGAAAGAACGAATATTAATAACTTAATTACACTTTTTAACCATTTACCCCTTTGTTTTCTTTATAAATTTTCTCACCGATTTGTCATAGTCCAATTTTTTCTCTAAAAATCATTGAATTATAATGATCGTTACATTGAGCCAACCTTCTCTCATTACAGATAATGGCCGCCCTCCTCCCTTACTGAGGGACACAACATCACTTCAAGGAAACTAAACTCAGCAGTTTCTTGCATAATATTTTTGATGTCAAAAAGTGAGAATGGAAGGATTCCTTCTCAACTTGTTGAAAAATTTAAACAATAAATTTTCAGTGTTGTTCAATGTCTGGTAGAAGTGTACTAAGGTTCCCAGTGACTGACGATGCTATGCTGGTAAAAAAAAATTGTTTTATTCCAAGACAATTTAAAACTTCGCTGGAGGCCTCTGACTTAAAGCTGAAGCTCAAATCAAATTGGAAAGACAGGAGCACATCTATCAGAGAGAAAAATCTTACCAGAGCTATCATTATTGAATTGGTCATAGGTACTGCCTACGGTGTCTTGTGGCCTTGTGTATTACTCTAAATATATATTTATATCCTGACCTTGACTTAATAATTCAGTTAATGGTTCCTTAAAAACTTTCAGTCTTCACTCAATGATGGGATATACACAAAGTATAATGAAAATATATGAATAACTGAAGTATAATGAACGAGCAATATATTCATACTTACAACACACCGAAACATTATTATTAAAAGTCTATATAAATATATTAAACATAATTATATTTTACCCTTTAAATTACGAAACTCCTTAAATACATATAATTTAAGGAAGAAAATGGGTAAAGCAGATATATATTCACTGACTAAAAATTTGGCTTAATGATAATTTTGAATGAGATATTTGGCACAGAATTAATAACTCAAGGATTTACAAGGTGCAGCGCCGCCTGGCTGTCAACAATCAGTCAGTATAATGCCATATAATAAACTCTTAAATTTTGTCATCTCATCTCTTCCTATTAAATTTGTGGCACGAATGATAATGTATTAAACTCCAGTATCCATATCATGAACTCTCTCTTACACACAGAGGTTGAACTAAGTATTATAAGCAAGATCCTCTAGCAAACTGGGAGCAATGTGTAGTGTGCAGGATACAGCAGATCTCTGCTACACAGGAAGGTATGTGTAGTGTGCAGGAGACAGCAGACCTCTGCTACACAGGAAGGTATGTGTAGTGTGCAGGAGACAGCAGACCTCTGCTACACAGGAAGGTATGTGTAGTGTGTATGAGACAGCAGACCTCTGCTACACAGGAAGGTATGTGTAGTGTGCAGGAGACAGCAGACCTCTGCAACACAGGAAGGTATGTGTAGTGTACAGGAGACAGCAGACCTCTACTACACAGGGAGGTATGTGTAATATGCAGGATACAGAAGATTTCTGCTACACAGGAAGGTATGTGTAGTGTGCAGGAGACAGCAGACCTCTGCTACACATGAAGGTATGTGTAGTGTGCAGGAGACAGCAGACCTCTACTACACAGGAAGGTATGTGTAGTGTGTATGAGACAGCAGACCTTTGCTACACAGGAAGGTATGTGTAGTGTGCAGGAGACAGCAGACTTCTGCAACACAGGAAGGTATGTGTAGTGTACAGGAGACAGCAGACCTCTGCTACACAGGAAGGTATGTGTAGTGTACAGGAGACAGCAGACCTCTACTACACAGGGAGGTATGTGTAATATGCAGGATACAGAAGATTTCTGCTACACAGGAAGGTATGTGTAGTGTGCAGGAGACAGCAGACCTCTGCTACACATGAAGGTATGTGTAGTGTGCAGGAGACAGCAGACCTCTACTACACAGGAAGGTATGTGTAGTGTGTATGAGACAGCAGACCTTTGCTACACAGGAAGGTATGTGTAGTGTGCAGGAGACAGCAGACTTCTGCAACACAGGAAGGTATGTGTAGTGTACAGGAGACAGCAGACCTCTGCTACACAGGAAGGTATGTGTAGTGTGCAGGAGACAGCAGACCTCTGCTACACAGGAAGGTATGTGTAGTGTGTATGAGACAGCAGACCTCTGCTACACAGGAAGGTATGTGTAGTGTGCAGGAGACAGCAGACCTCTGCTACACAGGAAGGTATGTGTAGCGTGCAGGAGACAGCAGACCTCTGCAACACAGGAAGGTATGTGTAGTGTGCAGGAGACAGCAGACCTCTGCTACACAGGAAGGTATGTGTAGTGTGTATGAGACAGCAGACCTCTGCAACACAGGAAGGTATGTGTAATGTGCAGGAGACAGCAGACCTCTGTTACACAGGAAGGTATGTGTAGTGTGTATGAGACAGCAGACCTCTGCTACACAGGAAGGTATGTGTAGCGTGCAGGAGACAGCAGACCTCTGCAACACAGGAAGGTATGTGTAGTGTGCAGGAGACAGCAGACCTCTGCTACACAGGAAGGTATGTGTAGTGTGCAGGACACAGCAGACCTCTGCTACACAGGAAGGTATGTGTAGTGTGCAGGACACAGCAGACCTCTGCTACACAGGAAGGTATGTGTAGTGTGCAGGACACAGCAGACCTCTGCTACACAGGAAGGTATGTGTAATGTGCAGGATACAGCAGACCTCTGCTACACAGGAAGGTATATGTAATGTTCAGGAGACAGCAGACCTCTGCAACACAGGAAGGTATGTGTAGTGTACAGGAGGCAGCAGACCTATCCTACACAGGAAGGTATGTGTAGTGTGTATCAGACAGCAGACCTCTGCTACACAGGAAGGTATGTGTAGTGTGTATGAGACAGCAGACCTTTGCTACACAGGAAGGTATGTGTAGTGTGCAGGAGACAGCAGACTTCTGCAACACAGGAAGGTATGTGTAGTGTACAGGAGACAGCAGACCTCTGCTACACAGGAAGGTATGTGTAGTGTGCAGGAGACAGCAGACCTATGCTACACAGGAAGGTATGTGTCGTGTGAATGAGACAGCAGACCTCTGCTACACAGGAAGGTATGTGTAGCGTGCAGGATACAGCAGACCTCTGCTACACAGGAAGGTATGTGTAGTGTGCAGGAGACAGCAGACCTCTGCTACACAGGAAGGTATGTGTAGCGTGCAGGAGACAGCAGACCTCTGCAATACATTAAAGGATGTGTAGTGTGCAGAACACAGCAGACCTCTGCTTCCCACCACTGGTGTAAGTTTCATTGCTATCGTCTCTCATGGACAGTAACAGTTCATGAAACTCTTCCTAAGATACAGAGAAGAAAATGCCAGCAAAAATACAAGATAAAAATTCATGCATATTAGATTCATGATGTTAAGTCCTTTAAAAATTTACTATGTACATTATCTGGAGTCAGGTATATTACCCAGCCTCTGCTGATATATGTATTATCTGAATAGAAAAATATACATAACTTTTACAGCTATATACATCACACAAATAAAAAGATATACATAACCAGTACAGATATTTATGTATGTATATATACATAAATAATCTATACAGACAGATATACATAAGCTGTGCAGAGTTGTATTAAGGCCAAGTCTAAATACAAGAAGGATGTACTAAGATACAGATTAATTACCTGCTGTATTAAAGGTTTCATTTAACTGGATATTTATCTCAGTAAATTTTCTAGGGGCTCTGATATACATAAGTCATATATAAATAAAGAATATTGCAAAATTTGCACTTAAGTAATAAATTACTTGTAGAAGTAGCATACTATGGCAGTATAAGCATAATGAGCAGTTTAACATGCTATACTCATCTTTCAACAACTATTAACTACTTTCTGAAAAATCTATTTTAATATTGTTTAGACGAGATAATTTGTAAATTTAGTTTAGAATTTAATTTTCACATAAATTTTGTTAATTTCTTCATATGGAAGAGAAGGACTTAGCTTGCTGTGTGATCTTACCTCATAAAGTTGTAATGTCAGCTAGAGCAACAAGACAACACCAAGACAGAAATATATATTTGTGTGACTTACTCATCCTCCCAAGGACAGATGTCTGTCATCTTCTGTGGGGGGTTGTCCTCCCAAGGCGCCACTACGTTGCTTGCCACTTTGGGAGAGGCAGGCTTACTCCCTACTTCAGCAGGACACGAAAGTCTATCAGTAGCAGCTCGTGGGGACTCAGCCCTCACAGCTGTGTGCTGACCTCCAGTACTGCTGCTGCTACTGGTGGTGCTGGTGTTCCCGCTGCCTAGGGTGGTGCTTACATGCCCATGCTGAGCCTCCTGGCTCAAGGAGGTCACACTAGTTGCCGAACTGATGAGTGGCAGACCGTACTGACCTGGTAGGTGACCTGACCTTACGGTGTAGTCAATTTTGATGCGGCGCGAGTCACTGTAACTGGATGAGGAACAAGTTGAAGATGGTGACGAGGTTCCTTCGCTGGTGATGCCTGGGCGGGGCTCAAGCCCTCCCGGCATGGATACACTCTCTGGTTTGTAACTTTCACTATGTGCCGCGGATCCTATGTTCATACTTAAATATTTTTCTTTTGGCTTTGTAACTTGATCTAGTTTGCCTTCACTTTCTTCACTCAGTTGTCTGACGTGTGGGTTCTCACTCTCTTCACTAAGCTGTCTGCCCTTTGGGCTTTCACTGGTTGTGCTGGTATTGTACTTTTCTGGTCCTGGGGGCTCTTCTTCTACTACCTCTTCCCATGGACATACTTGAATAGAGATATTTCTTTCGCATGGTGGCCGTGAGCCATCTTTACCTCCCCAGTCTCTTGATATGAAAGCTGCCCCCGTGCTTGTAAATACTTTAACAGACATATCACCATATTCTTGGTGCACTCGTAGAGGTGTTGTTGAAGAGTGGATGTTCACTGCATCACTGGCTATCATCCCGGGGGCCGAAGTAATTGAAGTTTTTTTAGCTTGCTCATTTGTCTCCCATGGACAGACATCCACATCAATGGATTTAGATTTTTCAGTAGTACGATTGGGAAGTTCTTGACCCTCCCAAGGGCAGATAGAGGCAGTGGTATGTCCTTCAGTAAGTATTGGAACCAGACTGGGCGCCACGGATACTGACCCATGTCTTTTGCTGAGGGAACTCACATCTACTGATTTAGAACGATCAGGTCGAGCCTTTGGGTGTCCCAGTCGTTGTTCTTGAGGTTTAGGTGGGACCTGAGTGCGTGTTGAGGGTGGTACGGTGGTCTCCCAGGGGCAGATGTTGGCAGCTGAGGCTTCGCTACTGGAGTCCCAGGGACACACAGTGTTACTCTGGCTCACCTCCACCCCTCCTGCGCTCTGCCTCTCTGAACAACTGTGGAGAACAATTTTATGAACAACGATAATATATAATAATTTTATGAATAATAAACAAGACAAAGTCACAAACGAACTGACTTTGAGTAAATGAAACAAAAGGCAAGAGGAGCATATTTAATAAACAGAAGTCAATAACACTAAGGAAACCACTTGAAGATAATATATAACAGGAGATTGCCTTATTACTGTATAGTTTGTCCTCTGTATGGGTTTGTTTATATATATATATATATATATATATATATATATATATATATATATATATATATATATATATATATATATATATATATATATATATATATATATATATATATATATATATATATATATATAATCACTGTTTTTGCAGAGGTGCTCAGAATACAACAGTTTAGAAGCATATACGTATAAAGATACACAACATATCCATAAAAGAGCAAACAATATTCTTAAATATGTGTTGAGAAAGAGAGAGAGAGAGAGAGAGAGAGAGAGAGAGAGAGAGAGAGAGAGAGAGAGAGAAGAGAGAGAGAGAGAGAGAGAGAGAGAGAGAGAGAGAGAGAGAGAGAGAGAGAGAGAGAGAGAAATGCCTTTATACAGGATTCAGAGGATGTGTTGGGTCACCTTACTGAGCAATATATACAATTTCAGACAAGTGAAGAAAAAAAATGTGAAATTTAGATGCGAGGGAATCAAAGACCTGCCAAAAGGATTTCTTTTAGGAGTATAGGAATAGGATTAGGAAAAAGACAGGCCTATCTAAATGTTACTCAAATCAGAATACTGTTAGTGACAAAGAAATATGTACCATTACTAAGTTTTATTTCCTTTCCGTTTTTTACACAAGTGTATACAAACAAAATCCTAGAAAATTATATACAGGTCAGGACGATAATAAATTATGAAAGATCAAAATCACTAGTGAATTGTTTTTTAGACAACTAGATAGATACGAAACCATAAAGTCAACTGACTCTGACAAGACCTCTTAAAGGCTGTGAGGAGACTCAGTATCTGGGCTCTTGAACACACCACTGCAGATGGCTATTGTGCCGTATAAGTGGAAATTAGCCAATGTGATACCCATTTATAAAGGGGGAAATAGGTTCTCAGCTTCAGATTTAGACCAATCAACCTAATATGATTTGTGGGAATATAATGATGGAATCAATAACCGTGAATGAATTTTGAAGCCACATTGAAAGATATAATCAGATCAATGAATCTACCATTTTACAGAAGGCCGTTTTTCACTAAATAGTAGACCATAATACAAAATAAGATATTGTGTATATGGAATTCAGCAAATCCTTAGAAAGAGTTCCAAAGAGCGACAAAGAAAGTAGCGGCACATGGTACAGGAGGAGAAATGTTTTCATAGTCCGACTCATGGTTGTGCGATAGGCAACAGAGAGTTTGCCTAAATAGAATGAAAGCAGAATGGAGTCTTTATTAGGACCCTTGATGTTCACAGTCTATAAACAGCGGTAGAAGGAAGATGAATGCAGACAAATATGGGTTTGTCGATGCTGCACGACGACCTGGATAGGTTGATATTGTGGTCGAAGAAGTGACAGCTGTGGTTCAATGCAGACCAATGTAAGGCACAAATCTTGGGTAAAGAAAATAAGGTAGATCTTAGACAAAGTGAAAGTAAAAGAAAATTGAGCTGTTCTCGTTAGCAGAAATTTAAAGCCAATACAACAGGGTATAAGTGTTGACAACAAAGCTAATAGCATTCTTGGCTTCATATTAAGAAGAATAAATTACAGATGTCAATTGGTTGTACTGCAACTTTTTATAACTTTGGCAAGCTTAATTGAGATTGTGGTTCAAGTTGTAGACTCAATTAAGCAGAAATGGAAATAAAATGCTGGAATTTAGCAATGAGAAGAAGACAATAGTTGATTCCGGTTAGAATCATTTAAGCAAGACAACTGAAGGACGAATGATCTCTGGGAAAAATAATAAAGTGTCATAGTTAGTCATTTTAGTACTAATGTAGTAGAAGTAGTTGTGCAGATGTATCCAATTACGAGGTAGTATAAGCTATATATATGTAGTAGTAGTATAGTAAATATAGAGTAATAGTAGTATTGTATCTGAAGTAGTAGTGATAGTAGTAGTATTTAAGTATATAGTAGTAGAAGTAGTAGTAGTAGTAGTAGTAGTAGTAGTAGTAGTAGTATAGTAGTTAGTAGTAGTAAAGCAGTAGTAGTCACTATCAGTAATAGTAGTAGTAGTAGAGCAGTAGTAGTAGTAGTAGTAGTAGTAGTAGTAGTAAGTAGTAGTATAGTATCAGTAGTAAGTATAGTAGTAGTAGTAGTATAGTAGTAGTAGTAGTATAAGTTGTAGTAGTGGTAGTAGTTAGTAGATAGTAGTATAGTAGTAGTAGTAGTATAGTAGTAGTAGTAGTAGTAGTAGTAGTAGTAGTGGTAGTAGTAAGTAGTAGGTAGTAGTAGAGTAGTAGTATAGTGGTAGTAGTAGTAGTAGTAGTAGTGTGTAGTAGTAGCAGTAATAGTAGTAGTAGTGGTAGTAGTAGTAGTAGTAGTAGTAGTGGTAGTAGTAGCAGTAGTAGTAGTAGTAGTAGTAGTAGTAGTAGTAGTAGTAGTGGTAGTATTAGCAGTAGTAGTAGTAGTAGTAGTAGTAGTAGTAGTAGTAGTAGTAGTAGTAGTAGTAGTAGTAGTAGTGTAGTAGTAGTAGTATAGTAGTAGGTAGTAGTAGTAGTAGTGTAGTAGTAGTGAGTTAGTAGGTAGTAGTAAGTAGTGTAGAGTAGTATGTAAGTAGTAGTAGTGGCAGTAGTAGCAGTAGTAGTAGTAGTAGTAGTAGTAGTAGTAGTAGTAGTGGTAGTAGTAGTAGTAGTAGTAGTAGTAGTAGTAGGAGATGTGACATTTACGAAGCGCTTTGACCTCTTAGAATGAGTATACAACCTGATGGATTGCTGGACTGGCTCTTTAATATCATGTTACTGCTGGGTAGGCTCTCTTCCGTGATCCTTTGTAGATAGTTCTGTGTCCACACGCAAACAATCCTGATATCAACACATGAAGCAGAGTAATCAACGAGTGTATCAGAATTTGTAGAATTCAAGAATTCATGTTAGGAAATGTGCGACTGCTGGCGACATGGCTTAAAATCACACGATGCGGATGAAGTTTCCTCCTGGTGCAGAGGCTCGCTAATAGTCCATGGCAGTATATTGTGCTCTTGAGAAAGACAGACCGAGCACTATACATCAAAGTGTGTGTTTAGACAGTTCAAAGTAGCAGTATGAAGCTGCATTGGTGAATGCCATCACAAAGTATTGTGCCGAAGTCTAGTGGCAGTCTCACTGAGAGAGGAAGATGACCATCTGAGTAGTAGAGTAACCATGCATAAACTGAAAGAATATTGTGTGGAGGTAGAGGGGTAATGCCATCAGGTAAGGAACACATAGTGTCTTTATAACTATATGAAATACTGTGTTATAAAGAATATCCTGGACTGTTTCCTGATAACCAAGACGCAGACGCTGTGAACAAAGGAATTTCTCTACAGTATGAAGAAAGACGTCACAGTACCCTGGCTGTTTCACTTCACTTACTAACTCACAACTTGGAAATGAAAACTAGATGATGTTTTGGCTCGTTCTGTACCTACTGCTGTCAATTCGTGACTTGATATGGCGGCTCAATATGATCCGAAATAACCTCCAGTTTTCAGTTCGAATTTGTAGGTAAGTAATGATTGTTTACGGTGTCAAAAGTGTCTCGTACTTCTCAATACCAGAGACCGAAGCTATGAACAGAGGAACATATCCACGGTATCACTGATATCTATTTCTAGATCGCTGAATTACCTGTTTGGGCTCATTCACTGTTAGTTTTATGTACGAAACAGCACCATTAGTAAAACTTATTTTTCTGGTTTGATAACACTAGTTAAAGAACCTTAACATATTTATATAACCCTGAATATATTGTAGAATGAAACATCTGCGGCTTAACTTTACAAAGTTCTCACCTTTACATAAAGGCCGCAAACTAGATTTATATATATATATAAAAAACGCACCATTTATTAGGAAAATATATTCATTTTTTATGTGAGACCTAACTGGTGGTTTCTCAATATATGAAGAGTGACAGATGATCTACGAGACCAGTTAAATATTTAGTGTTCCAAACTAAAAAAAAAAAAACTTGACACAAAGACTTTAATTATTAAAAATATAATTTTATATGGTTTATAACTGCTCTTGACTTGTTTTATCAGTAGAGTTTACTGCTGATTAAACTGCTCGACGTGAAACATTGAGACTATTTAACTACTGAATAATGACAACTTCCTTATCAAACGAAGATACAAATTGACCATACCCCGGCCGGGATTGAACCCGCGGCCAGAGAGTCTCAAAACTCCAGCCCGTCGCTCTGACCGCGGGTTCAATCCCGGCCTGGGTATGGTTTGTTTGCAATCGTGTCATTACGATTTCATGAGTCATACAAATTGACTTTAGGAAATAAAGAGTTAATTATAATTTTATCAGATATTATTCATACAGGATTACATATTTCTATTTAATACATAATTCTAAAATAGTTATTAAAAAGATCTTCACATTAGTGAGTGAGCTTTAAAAGGCGCATGAGTTTCCCTGTTTCTTAATATCATGTTTATTTTTCCCCTATAATCTACCTTGTTCATAATTACTATTGCATTTGCTTCGTCTGCTTTCGTAAGACGAAGTCCAGGATCTTTCCTTAACTCATGGTATAACTTAACAAATCTTTGATGACAATTATGTTGTAGATGAGCTTAGCTCACACCTCTGCAACCATGTGTCCTCAAAGGCTTGTTAAGTTATACCATGAATTAAGGAAAGATCTTAGACTTCACCTTACGAAAGCAGACGAAGCAAATGCGATAGTAATTATGAACAAGGTAGATTATAGGGGAAAAATAACATATTAGAAAGCAGGGAAACTGACGTGCTCTTAAGGTGCAAGAAAACGACATGGGAGGAGGACCAGT